GAGCTTGACCAAACTGCGGGAGGCAGTGGAAGACAGGAGTGCCTGGCGTGCTCTAGTCCATGGGGTCACGAAGAGTTGGACACGACTAAACAACAACAACAAATGTTTCCTAGGCAGCAGGGAAATGTACCTTCCTAGGCAGCAGGGAAATGCTTGCGAGACAGGCGACAGTACACCTTGAGATAAGCTTGGCTCACACTTATCAACTAGCATTGTAACACAAAATCCCTTTTTTCGCTTATAGCAGCTGCCAGGCAGAGAGATGTTCAGCGAGTGCCTCTTTCCCCATCGCCACATCTCAATGCTAGGAAAAACTGCACCTGGAGAACCTCCACCTGCCGCAGAACTTGTGCCAGGACAAGCCAGCAGTCCTAACAGCTACTCAGTATCTCTCGCCCTGCTGCCTTGTGCAATCATTGCTCCTTGGGGCAGGAGAACAACTTCGCTCTTACCTTTTAGCCCCAAGGTTTTCCAAACTTGGGTCTCTGGCAGTTTTTTGGGGGGACTACAACTCCCATCATCCCCAGCTGGCAGGACCAGAGGTCACAGATGATGGGAATTGTAGTCCTAAAAAAAAAAAATTCCAGCCAGAGACCCAAGTTTGGGAAACCCTGGTTTAGCCAAATCTCCAGCAAGGTGGGGATTCCTGGGTTTTTATCATGCATTTCATGATTCCGTATTGTGATTTTTTTTTTTTTAAGTTGGGAACCGCCCTGAGACCTGCGGGTAACAGGGCGGTACACTAATAATGCCTAATAATACTAATGCTAATATTATTAATAATAATAAATACACCACCACCCCTCCTTCCTCCCTTGCAAAACCGAAGTGTTTGGGACGAACTCCCTCTCCTCCCATCTATTTCCCCTGCCAAGCTCCTCCAACACAGGCAGCTCTCTGCCCCCACCGCGATTCCCACGACCCCCTTCATACGTACCCCGTGTAGCCGCCAGTTACGAGCAACCCAGACCAGAAAAGTCTATTTAGGCTTGAAGAAGGAAGGGAGACGGGGGACTCTAGGACCCAGGGGAGGAACGGGAAAGCTAAGCCACGCCCAGCGCCTCCTGGGAGGTGGGGTTTTTTCCTCCTCCTCCGCAACGGCTACTTCCGGTAAACAGTTCCCACCCGCTTTCAGCCGCTTCTCCCCGCCTTCCGGCCTCGGAACGCGACTTCCCATTGGAGGAGCCGCCGATTGTGACGCGACGCATTCCGAAGAGGCAAGAGAGCGGGCGGCTATTCCCGGCTCCTGTCGGCTTCGGATGTTGCAAAAGAGCATGCGCGCGGGGGACCGCCGGGCAGGGGGTTTTTCCCCCTTTTATTTCCCGCGGTTTTTGGCGCTCTGCAGAAATGCAGGAACCGTTAAAGGGCTGGGGCTCTTGCCAAGGTGCGCACGGCTGTTTCTGCATACATATTTTAATAATAATTATCTAAAATATATTAGTTTGCTGGCAGTTGTGCAGAGCATTTTGCACGAATAAATGACATTCCGTACTGGTTATTGGAGCTGCATTTGAGAAAGCAGCTATAAAATTGTTTTTAGAAGATTTAAGCAAAGATCTGAGAGTTTCCTTTCTCGCTTTGGAATTTTGCTGAGCTTTTAGATGTGTAATTTCCTAAATGCTTGCATTGTTTTATGTTGCTTTGATTCTCTCAAATGAATTGGTAATTATTATATGTTGTGTTGGAATTAAGCATTCTATGAGGTTGTTCCAACAACATTACCGTTAATGCATGTCTGAGGTTGGCGAATTGGGACCATGAGGAATTTAAAAAACGTTTGAGAATAATTACTGGCAACAGCACTAGATTTTTACCTAGGGACATTCAGGTTCTATTTATATTGAAGGTTCTTTCCATCCAAATCAGTCTTTCATTTGATTGGTAACATACCTCCACAGATAAAATAGAAAACGTATTGTTTAGCAAATCATTGTGGCTACAATTTGCAAGTTGCATCACTGTGTTCAGAACTGAGTGTAAAAGAATGAGAATCTATATATTGTTAAGAGCATTGGACTTGGACTAGCGAGTAGTGGGCTTAATGTCCATTCAGTTATGAATCTTACAGGCTCTTGATTTAACCTACCTTTCAGGTAGTAAACTTTCGTTCTTTTACAAAGTGTATGTGCAAGGTTTTTGTGTGAGCGTCCTGTGTTGAGTATTGTGCTTTTAGATTATTATATTTTGCAGGATATAAAATATTATGATAATAATACCCTTCTTAGTTGGGGGAGAAGGCAATCTTCTGTGTGAAAAAGGAGACAGAATTGCAATGAACAGTCAAGGTGAATATATTTTTAAGGAAGAGCAAATATTAGGGAATTACAATAAGCTTACAGGTGACCTCTTTCCAAAAGAAGCCAAATCTTGCCCCTTAGAATAGTGACGTGTGTCAAACATAAGACTTTCTTCTGTTTACTGGGGCCAAAATCCTGTGTTTTTTCCTTGTTTTACAGCGATCTAGGCGAGACAGGTACAGGAGCCCTGAGAGAACAAAACGTTGGCAACGCAAGTAGAAAGGAGTCAGCCCATATTCAACTTCTGCATATCCAGCTGGCCCTGCCTACCTACCCCAACTTCCCCTGAACCATCTACTGGGGTTTCTCACTTCTTCCAGCCACCTCCCACTAGTAACTACCTCTTGCCCTCAGCGACCCTGTCCATTTGTGACATCACAGGAAGTTTGTAGCCCATGGCAACTGCTTAGGGATGCATCTGCACAGCCCCCCATCCTGGTATTGGAAAGGGGAATGTCATGAACGTTACTTGGATGTATTTAGAAATACCTTGATTTAGAAGTAGAAGATGGCTTTCTTAAGCTCTGCTGTCCCCTTCATTGCTGCTTTCGGGCAAAGCGTCGTTGGCTTGTGACATCCATGAAAGACAAACACAGATACGGTGAGAGGAATGGCCCTCATTCAACAGTTATCATCCAACCACCTCCATTGGCCAGCCTGCCAACCTCCACTGGCTTCCACCCATGAATATCTAGTGGTTCATTCGTCCAGAGCCTGGAGGGCAGCCTACACTGCTATCTGAACATGCAATTCCCAGGCATACCATGTCTGGTGGGTGACCTATGTCCACACTCTCCATTCATACTTACCCCAGCATCAGCCTACAAATATCCACACAGCTTTTGTAAGTGGCCTTCTGAAGGTGAATTTCAACCAGCTTACGTGCACAAACTTCAGCCTCCTTCAGCCCTGCAGCATCCCGGGCTTCCACATGCTAATCACAGCTTCTGCCGGCTCCATCGCCAGCTTCCAACCATGGATATCTGCCGCTTTCAAGCTGCGGTCCTGCTCAGCAGGTACACTTGCCTTCTCGTTGCTCCACAGCATCTCATTGACAGATGATGGCCTCCTTCCATTTGCCACCTTGCGTCCATGCGGAAGGAGTACTGAATAACACAACGGTTGTCTACTGTGTCCTTTTCAAGCTTTGCCTTGGGCTTTCCCCTTGGGCCGCTTTTGTATATCCACTGAGCTGCCATGTGCTTATGTGACATCACAGGGCGTCCACAGCCAATAACAGCAGCTGGAGAGGCATCATCATCATCACCTCCTCAGGCCTCACAATGGTGGGTGCAGCTGAGCAGCCATTTCCCCTTTGCTTGTTTGCTATGTACAGCTCACTCCTTATTTATAATGACATCAGAAAAAGGCATGCCATAAATCCACCTTCCCATTTTGTTTCTCTGACATCCTATCTGCATAACCTAGCAATTCCAAAATATAGATGCACTTTTACTCTCACAAGATTGAATGTATTCCCTCAGCTGTACTTGAGGGACGATTCCAACAGATTCCACACGAAAAACGCTTATGTTCCTGTGGAGATGGCAGTACTGAATCGGTGACGCATGCCCTCTTTATAAAGACTTGAGGAATAAGATTATCAGCCCTCTTTTATTGTCCATTCTGGGTCTCCCAACCACCGCCACAGTGTCATTTATCTTGGCAGATCAAGATGAGCAGGTGACAGCAAAGGTTGCAAGGTTTTTAGCTAGGGCAATCAGAATAAGATCCACCATTTGACTGCTGATTCAGGACCCTAAACTGTGTTTTATATAATCAACTTTTTACTTCTGTTCTGTGTATATTGCAATGTTCTTTTGTTGCTATGGCCTAAAGGTAAAGGTAAAGGTACCCCTGCCCGTACGGGCCAGTCTTGACAGACTCTAGGGTTGTGCGCCCATCTCACTCAAGAGGCCGGGGGCCAGCGCTGTCCGGAGACACTTCCAGGTCACGTGGCCAGCGTGACATCGCTGCTCTGGCGAGCCAGAGCCGCACACGGAAACGCCGTTTACCTTCCCGCTAGTCAGCGGTCCCTATTTATCTACTTGCACCCGGGGGTGCTTTCGAACTGCTAGGTTGGCAGGCACTGGGACCGAACAACGGGAGCGCACCCCGCCGCGGGGATTCGAACCGCCGACCTTTCGATCGGCAAGCCCTAGGCGCTGAAGCTTTTACCCACAGCGCCACCCGCGTCCCTTTTGCTATGGCCTATGGCTGACGCAAATAAAGTTTCATTCAATCAATCCATAGTCGGGGGGGGGGGAGGTCATTTTTCATCCTGATGGCTGCACTCCCTTGGGTCAGATTTTCCATGTATGGGAGCCAACTCCTAAGGACCAAGGTCCCTTTACCTCCCCCCAAAAAAATATTGATTAGTTGAATAGTTGCATCAGGTATGCTTGAGACAACGCCTGTTTTTGTGCAGTTGTGTGGGATTCTATTCAGGGGGTTGAATAATAGACTGGAGAAGCCAGTATAAGTTGCAGTTTCAGCTGAAATAGGGGGAACCACTTGAAGCATCTGCTGTATTGAGCTATTTCAGTTGCTTTTGTTTGATTGGCTCATTGCAAACAGCTAAAAGTCTGTTAATTTTGATAATAAGCCTGATTTGCAATGGAGGTTGAATAATTTTTATTGCAACTGTATGACTGTTAGTATGATTTGCACTTTTATCTATGGATATAAGTAAGATAGGTATCATTTTTTTATTCTCATGTAACAATTTCCCAGGGAGTAGTCATGTTAAACAGTTGAAGCAAAAAGAGAATTTTGGCATCTTAAAAATTAGCAAATTTAAAATGGCATAAGATTATTTGATAACAATCCACAGACTCTTAAGTTTCTTTATTCTCTACATTCAACCTGACAAGAGTTCTATACGACGCAAAAGCTTCCATTCTTATCAGTAATATGTCAGAGTACATAATTTTGTTTCTTGTTCTATAAAAACAACATGATCACTCAGACACTGATCAGTACCATTTTGCTTTCAACATCCTTTTCCTCTCAACTATTCCCATGTTGGTGACAGTGCAGTAGAAGCAGATGGAGGAAGCATTCAAGACTCAGGGTAGATGTAAATAAGAATAGAAAAATGCAAGGAGGATCTTGTTTAATCAAAGCTGCTATACAACCCTACTTTTGTTGGCACAATATTTTAGAATACAATACATTCCAAACCTTGCTGCATCAGTAGTATTGTTTTTTTAACAACAGCAACATCTACTGACTTTTCCCAAAACTATTTGTTCAAATTAACAAGGTTTTGCCTCCAGGCAAGAGCATCAGTAAAACTGAAAAGCAGTTAAGTGAGTACTATTATATCTGTTCTCTTTTTAATCTACATTTGAATTCGCTCAGGAGAAAGACAATTTGCTTTATTATTTCAAAGCTGAATATAGTATTTTGTTTCTAAGCATTGTTCTTCAGCAGAAACTATTGATTGTTGTCTTTTTCCCCTTAAAAGTCAGAGGAGCACAAAGGGTTTCAACTGGTTAATGATATGAGGCAGGCAATTTCCTCATGTCTTAAGTATCTATAAACTATTGGGGGGGGCATGTGGTTTGGAAAGACATGCTTCTTCATAGGTTTGAGTCCTGATAGCAATACCTCCCTTTTTAGAAATGTATTTAATTCATTTATTATGTTTATCCCTCCCATTCTTCAAGGAGCTTGGAGCACCAGACAAAGTTCTTCCCTTCTCCCCTCCTTTTATATTTGCAATAACACACTGAGGTAAATTATGTTGGTACATGCCCTGAGGTTACATGATGTCTTTCCAACCCTAGTCCAACACTCTCTTTAACTACTTAAATCACACTAGTTAAGAAATTAGCTACTTGTTGCTCCATCCTGCAAGACCTGTGAGTTTTGGGGACAGCTCACAGTATCTCTCAGGGTGCAGGGCCACCATTAAATTAAGTGCCAACTCATGCCAATGTTCAGCTGCACATGGTTATGTGTAGGTTTTTTAAACATGCCAGCACAAACCTATGGCTTTGCAATTTGTAATGGCGTTCAAAATAGCATTTAAAATTTAATCCGGCACGTATTGGCAGCTGCACCCAGCAGACTCACTCATGAGATTTCATGCAGAAAGTTGAAGCGGTTCCCACATATGCTCAGTGGCAACACTGGATACTATTACTTTTGAGGGAATAATTTGCTCATTCCATTTTATTTCACCCTTCTATCAATGAACCCAGAACAGCGTTTTGGCTTCACAACAAGCCCGCGAAGCTAGCTAAAACTGAGAATGAGCTTCCTCTTTGAGCAGGGATTTGACTCCAGGTCGACTTGAACACAAGATTTATACAGGGTTCTCAAATTGTTACATTTAGGTGGTATGCAGTGTGTCTGGATTTGTGGAGATGGCACATTCATTGCGTTAAATATTCCTATTGATTTTTAATTCCTGAAATTGTAATACAATAGCATAATATATAAGAACTAAATGAAGCAATTTAAATGCAATTTAAAATTGCTCAGCACCTAGCACTGTGCGTTACAATTGCCACAACAGGCCAAAAGAAAAAGAAGTGTTCAACGAAGGCCCCTCACCGATCTTCAAGTGGTCCAGAAGGAAAAATTCTGGGGGAACCACTGATCTATAATAATTATCTTCATAGACGACACCAAAGTCCAGCTAATCAAGAATTCTGTTTCCAAAAGCAATCAAACAGCAGCCCAACAAAGCAGAATGTGAAAATGATATGCCGTTCCTCATTTTTTCTCTCAGCCTCTGGTATTCCAAGATATACTTCTTCTGTACATTTAAGTTCAGTTTTAGCCATCATGGCGAATAGCTGTTCTCCTTCCAATCAGCCGGAGAAGGAACAGTTCCAGGGCACTTTCTTCCCTTTCCCTGCCAGAAAGAATATTCAAGACAGCAGAACTAAAGAGAACCCTATTATGGCTCCATCCATCAGCCAGAGAACTAAGGGCTGCAGGGATGTGTGAGTTTGGGTAGTGCATTATTGCTACCTACTGTAAGAATTTGCTTGAAAGGCGAGGCATAAATATTAAAAATTAATAAAACTGTATAAAAGAAAAAGGGACAGATCCTTGCTTACCTGAATGTAGGATCTGAACCCACAACCCCATAGTAACTAAATGAAAGTACATTGGCTAATACTCTGTCACAGCAGAGTCAGAGGTACCAGATGCAAAGGGCGGCAGGATCCTGGTACCTTTCATATATTACATCTCTGAATACATTCCAGTCCTGGCGATTGCTTTCCTTACAACAACTCTGTCAGCAGTGTGGAAATCACAAAAATGTGGGCGCAACTTTTTCCATTGCTGACACCTGCCACATTTCCACCTCCTTCACAGTTGTTGATATACTTCTTCTGTACAACTAAGCCATCCCTCCAACTTGCATATATTTTCCATCAGCACTTCTTCACAATGGCATCTCTAGCCATGCTCCCAAATGCACAGTTCAAAACCCCAGTCAATGGAGGCTAAACCAAGATTATAAGCACGGATTTCCTTACACGGATTTCCTAAGTCAGAACGACTTCTGTATTCGAACAGACAGCAGCTCTCAGGCCGGAGGTCTTGCCTTTGACTTCCTTCGCCTCAGGGAGTGGGTTTGAGCTGGGGGTGCTAGTGGAAAAGAACAAGGTTGTAGCCGGGATTCTGCCCCCCCTCCCTTACAACTGTAATCCTATTTACCCTTCCTTTAGACAGGATACATAAGGTGTAGAGGATCAAGCCATACGCAAGCATTTTGCTTTAATAATTATGGCTCGTGTACATATGGCTTGATCCTGCATACACCCTACACACTGTGATAATTATTGTAATAATTACAGTGATTATAAATTATTTTATTATTATTAATTGTAACAATATCCTATGCACCCTATGCACTGTGATAATTATTGCAATAATTACTGTGACTATTTTATTAATTCATGACCATTAATTGTAACAATAATATCCTATGCACCCTAAGCACTGTGATAATTATTGTAATAATTACTGTGATTATTTTTTATTATTCTTTTTGCTTATTCTATTATTAATTGTAACAATATCCTATGCACCCTACGCACTGTGATAACTATTGCAATAATTACTGTGATTATTAAGTATTAATTTATGACCATTAATTGCAACAATAATATCCATGCACCCCACGCACTGTGATAATTAAATATTTTATTAGTTATTATTTCATTGCCAATTAAAACAATTGCTAATTGTTTTGTCCCGTGCTTCCCCTCCCAACACGAGACATGGGACCGGGGGGGGGGAGCAGCTCCTCTAACGTCCCTCGGAGCACCTTCGAAGCGGAGGCGCCCTCCCCAACCTCCTAAAATGACATCACTCCGCTTCGCCTGCGAGAGCTCCGCCCCAGGCAGGAGGAGCCGGAGCGAACCATTGTTCCCAAAAGAAACGGGGGTGGAGGGAAAGAAGGGAAATCCCTTCTCACGGCTCGCCATAACTCCCGAGCGCCGAACCTCCCCGCTCACCCACACAGACCGCTGAAGCGACACTTGCCCCGGGAGACCCCAGTGTGTAGGCGCCTTTTCTACATTTGTGCGTGTCTCCGCTATCTCTCTCCCCCCCCTCATACGGATGGACGCCGCCGAGCTGAGGCGCGAAAGAGAGAGACAGAGACAGAGAGCGAGCGCGCTTTCAGGCAGCTGGCGCGAGAGGGGCGGCTGCGCCTGCGCGAACCGCGCTGCCGAGCCCTGCGCTGTTTCCCTTCCCTCTTACGAAAGGGCGGGAGGGGAGGGGGAACGAGAGAGAGGGAGGGAGAGCGCCGCGGAGGGGGGCGCGCGGGTCTCTCTCGCGCGCGTGCGCGGGGCAGGTAAGCGGCTGTTTGGCGGCCGTTGGGGCTCCGTGAGGCGAGGGAGGTTGGGGGGGGGGAGGTGGGTCCGGTGAGGGAAAAGAGAGGCGGCGGCTTCTCCTCCTCCTCCTCTCCCGCCCTCACACGGAGAGCGATGGAGAGAGCCCTTCCCGCCAAAACGGGGCAAGAGGCGGCTGCGCTGGCCTGGCGGCCTCGGGAAGCGCCGGGGAGGCGGATCCTGAGGGGGAAACCTTGACTATTATACCGATATAGCATACCGATATATGTGCGTGTGTGTTTGCGGTTACCTCAGACGCTGTGCTTCCTCCACAACCCTTGTGTCCTCCCTCAAGAGTGTCGTGAGGACGGTGTTTTCGCGTGTCGGCGGCGGCGGCAGCACCACCAGCAACAACATGAGCCGCGATTTCAAACCCGGGGACCTGATCTTCGCCAAGATGAAAGGCTACCCGCATTGGCCAGCCCGGGTCAGTAAGGCGCCGCCTCCTCCTTCCCTCATCCATCCCTCCTTCACCTGCCTTCCCACGAGCGCGCTTTTCACGCGCGCGGGAAACGTCCGTGGGGAACCCGCCCCCTTCCCCTCCACTCGCTTTTTTCCCACGGTGTTGTTCGGGGTTCACCCGTCCGGACCTCTTGCCCCCCTCCCCTTGCTTCGTCCTCCCCCCGCCGGCCTCTCTCTTGGGAAGGGAGGGGGCGTGTTCGTGGCGTCCCTGGAAGTGACTTCTCCATCACATTGCAAGGTGCCCACATGCTGCGGTTCAGCGCAGGGTGTGTTTTTTCAGCTAGGTGGTCTTAATGACCTGCAAAAAAATGGGTTATATTCCTCCCCCCAAAAACTTGGTGGGCAAATGGATTGGGCCAAATCAGGTGAATGGCTGAGAGCGCTACCTGCTCATGGCGTAGCTTTGGGTAATTTACATGGTTTTAGCAATGAGTCCAGAAGTGACTGTGGAGGCCAATTCTGGATCCACACGTCCTTCCATAGTGGGGACATACCATAGGTTTCTGGGCGGGATTGGATCCTGGTGAGGGTTTGCCAACTGATCCTTCCTCTTAGCACTGTTTTTCCTTGTGTCCTGAGTTCAAATGTCTTCAAAGCCCATGGTATCTGAAATGTGCACGCACACGAAAGCACATACCAATAACAAACTTAGTGGTCTCTAAGGTGCTACTGGAAGGATTTTTTTTATTTTGTTTCAAAGCCCGTGACACCTTTGGTAAAGGCTGTTCTCCAACTGGAGCACTTGCAGGCCAGTGTTTCCCACAGTGTTTGTCACTGTTTATACTACATTTTTAAAGATTTGCCTTAAGAGAGTCTTTAAACCTCTTTTGTTGACCACCAGCATTATGCTTTCCATTCATAAGTTGGGAATAGAGTAATTGCTTTGGAAGATGATAATCAGGCATTCACACAACATGACCAGTTCAACAAAGTTGATGTTGAAGAATCATTGCTTCAACACTGGTGATCTTTGCTTTTTCCAGTACACTGGCATTAGTTTGGGTAATTTAGTAGGGACACATTGGGTTGCGTGTGTCTGTAATAAAAAATATACCTATCCATCTACCTAAAGATGTCTGGGTTAGAAAAGTATGTGTGTTGTCTCTTATTTTCAGGTCGTAGTCTAGAGTCTTTTCTACTGACCAGTTAACATTCAATGTGAGACATTGGTGTTGTATACAGTGTAAGGTGGGAGGAGGGCAGGGGGGTGGTCATTGCCAAGGGAAAATAACAGATAGAACCTACCAAAGTAACGCTGGCATATTGGGTTGTTGTTGTTTTAAGAATAAACTATGTAAAAGGATGAAAGTTTACTATCCCTTCCCTTCTCTCCCCTGCTCTCTTCTTCCCCAGATTTATACTTTCTATAACATTAGTGTCTCACATCAAAATATTTTAAAAAACCAGAAGCTGTGTGTAGGTTTGTAACCAAGGAAAATCTTTAATAACATTTTTTTAAAAAAATTGAATTTGAAATGGCTAAAGAGAACTAACTGGGGCCTGTTGAGGAAAAGGTCAGAGTAAGATGCTCCTTACCAGTACCGAAAGACTTGCTTGGAAGCCGGTCAATATTTATCCAAAGACAAAAAAATAAAAATAGATTTGGGGCAATTCTGCATGACACAGAATCACAGACCAGCATTCAAAGGTGCACAAGCTAGATCACAGCACAGATCCTAATGATTTTTCATACCTCCCACCCTGTAATCTTATCTGACATGTTTTCCATAGCACTATATTGCCAAAATAAATAAAAATAGTTCAGCGTGGATCCTTTGGGTTTCTTTTCTCCGCATTCACCTAACCACATGCCACATTATGCTGGCTACGTTATAAAAAATTAAGACATCTGATGAGCAGTTCATCAAACTCTTGTAACCTGAAGATTTAACAAGTTTAGCATAAGCTTTTATGGAATCATGCATCAGTTAGCAAGTGTGGCAGTCTGTGATTAAATCTGCATTTAAAAGAAGGCAAATTAAGAATGGTGACTGTTCACCATAGCAATTATTGTGATAATACAATCATTAGATTTACTGTTGTCCCTATTCAGACCAAAATGGATAGAATCCAACTTCATTATTATTACTATTACTTGGTCACTTTACACATAGAAAAGAATTTACACAGAGCAGAAAAGAAAATAGAGTGACTTACACATACAACACAAAAACTAAAACCAATCAATAAAAACCTTTAAATAAAAGACTTATCTATGCAAATAAAATACAGTTCTAGCAGATCCTGCCCTTCCAAAAATGGCCATAAATACTAAAAAAAACCCAAACCTTTCAAACTAAGGGCCAAAAGCCCAGGTAAAGAGAACAGTTTGCCTAGAGCCTAAAACTAGATAAAGATGGTGCCAGGTGAGCCTTCCTTGGGAGAGCATTCCTCAAGTCAGGAGTCACCACTGAAAAGGCCTGTTCTTGAGTTGCTCCCCTCCAGACCTCCCATGAAGAGCCTCAGATGATAATTGCAGGATCCAGGTCAGTTCTTCATAAGTTCTAATTAAACTGTTTCACACTGTAGTGTCCCTTTAAAGTACCTTTTTTGAAGAATAAATTTAGTGAAGAATAAATAAATTCCACCTTGCAGTGCTTTGCCCTGTGAAACTGTCTGTCACAGCTAATTTGATGCTCTTTTGTAACTGTAAGGATGGTGCTTGTTACCTAAACAAAGTGGTCCCTTTGGATAACACCACACTAATTAAAAGAAGTGCCTCCATGCTGGGCAGTTATAACTGGGAGGCAAACTGATACCTTCTTCCAGCAGCCAACAAAATCAATGTCAGAATTAGCAGGGAGTCATTCCCTCATTATTAGCATGATCCTATACATGTTTGCTTTCAATAAGTCTTGCTCTGCTCGGTGAGGTTTACTCCCAATTAAATGCACATAGGATTGCAGTTTAAGAGAAAATTGTTTTGAATCTGTTGTCTTTGGTGGTCTATGACTAACATCTTATATAGATGGGATCTTCTGTTTTCAACCTACTTCACAAGTGTTCTGAACATTATAACCACCAGTGATTTCTTTACCCCTTTTAGTAGTTTCCTACTAAATAAAAGTGTTTCGTTTAGAGTAAATGTTGCTTTCCCCCTTTTTCTTAGGTGGATGAAGTTCCTGATGGAGCAGTCAAGCCACCTACAAATAAAATGCCTATATTCTTTTTTGGCACACATGAAACGTAAGTCCTAAAGTTACAAAGCTATACTGGTTGAAGTAGAGTTACTTGGCTGTCGAACTATGGATTGTATATATTTTAGAGCATAGAGGCATGACAATATCATTTTTACATTGGGTTAATTTAGTGAAAATGATCTTTTCCCAGGCTTAATCTAAAGAGTATTTGTTTTCTAAACACAGAACCCTGTTTGTTATCCTGTATTATATTACACTTGTAGTTATTTCATTTTGCCACAATCAACAGTGTATGTCAGTACATGACCAGGACTTCTTATCATGCTATAGCCGATAGGAGGTGTGAGTTCTTTGTTGCAGTTCTGACCTTTGGAGGCCCTGGAAGTTGAAACCCACAGAAACAAAGAACAACCGTTACTGCTCTTATTGGCTGGTGTGTGGGTCAGTGCACCTCAAAAAGGATAATCTAGAGCTGAAAAACGTGTAGCGTACGGCAACCAAAATGATGAAGGGACTTAACCAAGTTCTCTATGAGGAAAGATTACAACATGTAGGGCTTTTTAGTCCAGAAAAATGGCAAATGAGGAGGGACATGATAGAGATGTATAAGATTATGCATGGTTTGAAAAAAAAAGTTTACAGACAAAAGGATTTATCCCCCTCATTATACTAGAATCTAATGAAGCTGAATATGGTAGATTCAAGATAGACAAAAAATACTTGTTCACAGGGTACATAGTAAAAATCACTACCAGAATATTTAGTAATTGCTACTACCTTGGATGGTATTTAAATTACATTAGACAAATTCATGGAGAATAAGCCTATTGAGAATACTATCATGATGGCTGTGTACTGTCTCCATTATCAGAGGCAATATCCCCTTTGCCTGGTGCCTTCATTATACACCTTTAGGCGTCAGGTGAAAATGTTCCTCTTCAACCAGGCCTTGGTCTGACAAACATCCTACATACTTTTAAATGTGTTTGCACCAGGGAGGGATTATTGGTTTGTTTTGGTTTTGTTCTTGTTTTTATTGCGTATTTTGTGTTTTTATCCTGTGTATGCTGTGAGCTTTCCTAAGATGTACAGATGAAGGGAACTCAAAGAATACAAATTTAATTATTAATAAGCTTTCTATGAGTTATTTCCCCTCATCACAAAACTGTCCAAAAAGTACACCCTGCATTCATGGGAGCTGAGGCGAAGTGTTTTGAGAATTGTGGGTAGTTATTTGGCATAGCATAGAACTAGTGTGAAGTGGCCTTTCCTGCAGGTCTTTGCACCCTGGAGCAGTTTTCCAGTCCAGCTCTTCGAAGAGACTGTGGAGCAGGAATGAGTGGGGAAAGTAGCAGACAGTGTGTCGGACATTGTAGAGAGAGACTGGAAAGAAAATGGGAAAGGAATATGTGCATTATACTTTGTTAGACCCAGCATCTGTTTACACCATGACCCACAGTTCTTTGAGAATTAGGCCTTCCATACATTTTGTGCAGTCTTATTGTAGCAAATGCCAAAGTGGAGGCTTAGCATCAAAGCATAAAATCAATGTTTATGATCCAGGGTCATTATACTAAAGAAAATTGCAGTTTCTCCCTCCTAATTTAGTTACTTTGTACCTTGCCCAATGCTACAGTGTTATTTTTTCAGTTGGAATTATTAGATCTAGGTACAGTATTCCAGTGTGACATGTAGTAGTATTATATTTACTGTCAAATTTCAATCCTTTCCCTGATAACTTCAAAACTGATATAGCACTTTCCACTACAATAGCACTGTTGAATGTGCAAAATGCCACTTAAGATTAGTGGTGATGGGGAGAGTCGGGGATAGGAAAATAGATTGAATATTTTATGAATTCATTTTGGGGGATGACTTCACTTCCATATTACAATCCCAAAATAATGCATGTGTGTGGTTACAGTCTACTGAGACCTATGTATATGAAGTCAGGATCTTCTGTTTTTGTTCCTGCATATATTGTTGTTTGGGGGCATTTGAGTGCTAAATATCTACAATATTGGTTACCTTGTTTCTTCCTGATAATTTTAGAATAAATAGCACTGAATACATTAGGTTCTCAGTTACCAGTGTATGAGAAAACTTCTACTATTTACCTGTGACTGCTCGTGAGGAATTTGTCCAAGTCTTTTAGAAATTATAGCCTTTATATTCATTAGTGAATGCTAATAATGACACTCAGAAAAGCTATTCTAAAAGAATAGGTTTAACTAGTAAACGGTTCCTATTCAAATTACCAGTTTTAATAAGAAATGTGGAGTGTACCTTGAATATTTGGGTATCTCACTTTCTTTGTAGAGCATTTTTGGGACCAAAAGATATATTCCCCTATGAGGAAAACAAAGACAAATATGGCAAACAAAATAAAAGGAAAGGCTTCAATGAAGGCTTGTGGGAAATTGTGAACAATCCAAAAGTAAAATTTTCTACTCAGCAGGTAAGTTACTGTCTAATGTGTATAGACTAACAATTTAGTCAGTTATTTCTAGTACCTTATTGACCTGACAGTGTCTGTTCTGTGTCCTGAGCCTATTATGCCAATATGATATTATCAGGAACCATAGGTATCAGAACGCTGCTGTTGTAGTTTAATAGATCAGGTTCCCCATTACTGAATTGGACATTTCATGCCATTGCCCCTACCTGTCTTCTCACATGACTACTATTCCTTTTTAGAGTACATGTTCACAGTTAAGCAAATGGTCAATCCCAGGCTTTTTTGAGAAGCTATCTTCCACAGGGAAGGGCAGCCCCTGCCAGAGTAAATGGGTAGCACAATTCTTGTAGAACAAGTGAGTGGCAGCAGCTGCGGACCTTTCTTACAAGGCTTGTTGACAAGACAAGAATTGTATATACTTGAGGTAGCGAATGTGGAGCCTTTCAGATGTTGGACTCAAACTCCCATTATGCCCAGCCAACATGATAAGTGGTTGGAGATGATGGGAGTTGTAATCCAGCAACATTTAGAAGATGCTACATTGGCTACCCCAAATATCCTTACAGCAAACTCAGTTCTCCAAGTGCTGGTCCTTATGTAGCCAATGAGGGAAGTATCAGTATGCTTCTAGGTTAGTACAATAACATTTACGAAAATCCCCAAAGGAAATGCTTGCATTGACTGAACAACCTATTTAGTGCTATGTTTAATGCAGTCCTTTAATTGTAGGGTGGATTTCTAAATTCATTACATAGTAAACCCTGGTGAGTTCAATGAGCCTTTGAGTAAATTTTATTACAATTGTTCCATTAATCACTGAAGTTTTCTGTATAGTGTTTTTAATATTTGCTTTATGCAGCATGCTACCCTGAAATTTGATATGATGAAGTGTTGTATAAAAACGTTGCATATATTTAATGCATATGTTTTTTAATCACCCAATTTTGAAATTGCTGCTCTTGTGTCTTTGTTTCCTGCTGATTTACGTATATGTTGGCAATATTTTTGTCCATAGCCCCATCCAGCTATTAGCCCTACAGTTGTTAAAGAAACTGCTGAAGAAACTAGCTTAGATACTATGGAGGAAAATGAACAAAAAATGGTGCCCAAAAGGAAAAAGCTGACTGCTCTTAAAGTAAGTGATCAAGATCTCATCCAGTACTACAATTCTATGATTTAAGTTAGTCATGAGTGGCTAAGAATTTATTTCATTGGGTCTACTCTGAGTATAACTTGGTATACCATCACCTTGTAATGTTAAAGATAGGGCAAAGGTGAGGGTATAAAGTGCAGTATGGACAGGAAAAGGCGGTGGTAAATCAGTTTCCTTCATTGGATATAATAGAAAATTGGTTTTAGGAAACCAGAACATCTTCATTAAGGTTATGAGGACAGACGCAAGAAGGGAGTTGTTTGCAAATGGATGGTGGGGACATGAAAACTGGACCATTTTCCTCCTTTGAATTCTGTTTAGGCTTTTGGAGGTAATCAACTCTCCACCTGATTTGAAGTCTTTGCTAGCTCTGTTCTTATTCCTGTTGCTTATTTTCTGTTGAGGTGAGGTCACATTACTGGAACACTAGAGGATTTCTCATGTGACCCCCCCTTAGCTTCTTCCCAGCCTGCCAAAAGCAATTTACATACAGTGGTACCTCTGGTTACGTACTTAATTCGTTCCAGAGGTCCGTTCTTAACCTGAAACTGTTCTTAACCTGAAACACCACTTTAGCTAATGGGGTCTCGTGCTGCCACCGCACCGTCATTGTGTGATTTCTGTTCTCATCCTGATGCAAAGTTCTTAACCCGAGGTATTATTTCTGGGTTAGCGGAGTCTAACCTGAAGCGTATGTAACCGGAAGCGTATGTAACCTGAGGTACCACTGTATTTCCCCTTGCAAAAATATGAACCCTAACAAAAGGACTGTTAAAGGGAGTTACAGTCAAATTACTTGATTAATGGTGAATTGGGATTATCATAGAACAGCACTAGTGTCAAGTTTGTTTTCCATACCTTTGGTATTTGCTTACATGATCAAAGGGTTTTGTTTATTTCTGCTAACAACTTTGAATGCTAAAGTAATTATATATGCACTTAATTAAATCTAGTTAAGTGTTGAATAGATCACTAGTTGTGCTTATTGCTTTCTGAGAGCCTTAATACCCATTACATCATAGATGTTATAGGCACTGGCGGAGGAAGAGGGGGGCGGTGGGAGCGCGCCGCCGCTGGCAGCGCGATCCTGGTGGGGTTCCATTGTGGCTGCCCCCCCGCTTGCGCTGGACGCCCCACCCCCGCAGGCAGCGTGCCCCACCCCCGCCTGCTCTCCATCCCCTGGTTCCAGAGCATGAAGCTCCGCCACTGGTTATAGGAACAATTAATTGGGAATCAGGATCCCAAGAAGATGAGGCAGGAAGCCATGTGGTGATTTTGACTTGAGATCACTTCATTATCTGTGGACTGAACAAGACTGGTGTCCTGATCATAGGAGGGGCAGAATGTTCAGCGCTTGTGATTCAGAAAGAAGCTCCACACTTCCAGTAGCCAAGGCACAGCTTACATAAAGCAATTCTACACAATTCTACACAAAGCAATTTTGATGTTCATTTATATTTAACAAGATTTATATACTGGCTAATTCAAAAAAACTCAAAGCTGTTTAGATAGCTTTGACTAAATAAAAAAGTTTTTAGCCAGCCTCAAAAAGAATACAATTAATGCACCTGATTAATATTCATATAGTTAAGTAAAGAACCCCTGGACAGTTAAGTCCAGTCAAAGGCAACTATGGAGTATGACACTCATTGCTTTTCAGGCTGAGGGAGCCAGCGTTTGCCTACAGACAGCTTTCTGAGTCATGTGGCCAGCAAGACTAAACCGCTTCTGGCACAACGGGATACCGTGACGAGTGCCAGAGCTTATGGAAACGCCATTTCCGTATTCATATACCGTAGTTACAGCTGTATACAGAACATAAAGCCTTGTTAACCTTCTAAACTGATGCTCATCCTGTGTTGTTTTTCTCCAATGTGTATTATTGAAAAAGTTTTGAATCCCAAAGAAATAGATGACACACAACCATGCTCAAGTGCCTGTTCAGCTCTGAGTTAAGAGAGCTGATGGCTTTCTCTTGCGTGAGAGTATTCTGGGGCACAGAATATTTCTGGGCATTATGGTCAATGTATGATGATAACAGAGGAACTTCAGATACCTGCTACTTATGTTAGAGTTTGGGGTTCAAATGCAACCTGAGACACTTGTGCCAGTATGCCTAGTAACCTTACAATTACACATCCCTTACAGGCCACTAGTAAAAGAAAAGGTTGATTTAAAAGGTACAAGTTATGTATACCCTGTCTATGCTCTGCATGGAGAGAGCATTTCTGACAGCTTGGATGAGGATTTTTAGGGCTGAACCTGTATCTCATTGGGATCCTCTTATCACATATTTTATATGTGTCTGCCAGTCCCAGATTAGGAAATCTATATTAGTATAAGTTTTTGGAAAATGAAAAAAAAATCACGCGGATACAGTTAACCATGTTTACTTTGCCTTTCAAAAACAAATTCTGATGTAGCTTCATGAGACTGCACTTACATCATTGGGCACCTATACAGACCTTACATAGATGTAATTTTTTTAAAATGTTATTTGTATCTCATTCTCAGGGTTCAGTTAAGCAGGATAATATAACCTCTGAAGTTGAAATAGAAGAAAAAGAGATGGAAATCTCGAAAGATGATGATTCTTCAGAAAAACCTAGTGAAGTATGTGACTTTGACAAATTTGGATTGTTGTTCTTTTTTATTGTTCCCAGTTTACATTTAATTTTGGAAAATGAGGGTCACACACAGCTTCCCATTTTGAGCAACACCTAGGCTCTGCATAAATACTTTTTTCTTTCTGTACACAATACAACAAAGGTTTTCCTCTCTTTTTAGTGACACAGGTTTTTCTGAACCCCTTGTCCTCTCTGTAACTTTTTCTCTCTGACCATTGCTACCACTGTTATACTGCACTCTTTTGTGCTACCGTTTCTCCATTAGCACATCGCTGCGGGTCTGTCTCCAACTCCCAGGACTGACCCCCTCTTCTTTAAAGTTTGGTAACAGCTCACAAGACTAATTGCATAGTGAGGATGTGTCTGATGCAGATGGGCTATGCAGATTGCTTACTGAACAAGTTAGAAGAAGTAGTGCCAACTCCACTTTGCACCTCTGAATCCAGGAATGGAAGGAAGGAAGGAAGTAGACATGAGAGGTGTTTGTATTTAATGCCAAACCATGATTTAGTGCTCTGTGCATATGCAGAAAGGAACCTCTGCATTCTCTGAGGCTTGATTGCCCCCCCCCCCCATGCAAGGCCTAGTTTAATTTCAACTTTCAACAAATTTTGGCTTGCTAGATTTTTGTTTAAAATAAACTGATCAGTTTCCAAGTAAGTAAACTTAAAAATGTGGGTTATAAAGCTGGCTCATTAAACAAACTAGAGTGTATGGTTTATATGAAATGACACATTTTATAAAAAGTGAAACTAAACAGCTGAAGCTGTCCTCCTTGCAGTACAGAAGGAAAGGTTCACAATACCTCCTTGCTGCTTATAGAACTATTATTGAAGCATTACATGTGAACCAGGCCATAGCTACGCAGGGATTATCTCATCCTCTGGCTGGGTGCTCACCCTACTTGTTACCGGCATTTGGGGAGCTGCAGCAATGTGAGCCAGACTTGGTTAGCACAGCCTCAGTTCATTAAAACCAGTACTAACGGGTCTTTCCCAATATCTGCCATCTGATGCTCTTATTGAAGAAGACAGAGACTCATACTTAAGTCTTCTTGCATTCAAAGCATATGTACTACTCCTAAACTATTGCCTCACCCCTTGAACATTCCTACACTGGCAGGGTAACATGACTCCTTGTGGGAGGAGTCGATGCTATTGTTGCTGACCATCCTAGCTAGTAACTGAGGCAGTTCTAGTGTGTATAAGAGGAGCAGCATAGGCCCAAACTTTTATACATGACCCCAGGGGCGCAGGTAGGAACTGCTGTTTATCAGCTTTCACCTAACCAGTGTAACATACAAACAATGGCTTACAGATGAGAGAAGGCTACAAACAATGGTGAGCTGGAATTGCTTCAGGGGGCTGTAGTTAGTTTGCACAGACCTCGTTTAAATATCCATGTAACTGGAGTATAGCTAGCTAAATAGATTTGAGCTGTGTAATTTGATGAAGTTATTATTGTGCCTCAGACCTAAACACATCTAAAAACAAATCTCATTTAATTAGAGTGCACTTCCACGTGTATAAATGAGTATTTTTTCCTTGAATAGCAAGTCCCTTGTGCTATATGAAGTGCTGTCAAAATTCTTCTCCCTTTCAAAGGTAGTTTGCCATGCAACATGTGGGCTGCTGCTTGAGAAAAAGAAATCCCTTAAACTCACGTTCTTTGGGACATGTAGAATTCCATGGAGTGGGTGGGGGCGTTAGCATAAACTTAATAATTTCAAAATTACACAGACAATTTTTACAGTTAATTTTAGTACTATTTCTGCCCTTAGGATATTGAGAAATCAGATGATGCACCTATCCCTAAGGTGGCTAGGAGGGGGAGAAAAAGAAAGGTAATATTTAGAACTTTATAGTTTTGTAAATACAGATTGGATTGCCAATTGTTTTTCAAAACCATTGGTTGCTTATGAAAAGACACACAAAATTAACCTTAACAATTACTACAAAAAAATTCATTACTTCAGACTATGTTCCTAATATGTATGAAATCAGTCCTTTTTCTGGACTCTTACTATCAGTCACACTTTTTTCCTGCCCTTCGCCTACTCTGTCTTCCATGACAGTGGGTGGGATACAAATAAGTGAACATAATGATATTTGGTCAAGTGGAGCTCCTGCTAATGGGGGGGGGCTTTTAAAGTCTATTTTCTTTACCCCCTGAAGCAGATTTTCAGGTGGAAAAGGAAACATTGGGGGAAATTGTGTCTTCTTTAATCAGCAAGCAGTGGGAGCTCCCTTTCCCTGAGCAGCACACATAGGATCTTAGGATCCAACCTGGTGACAGACTCAAAGTGTCCCAGTGTACAGGGACTTCAGCTTGCATCTTTCCAGTCTGAACCAGACATGCTATGCTGCATAGTATATAAAATCCATTTTTCACAAGCTCTTCCAACATTTGGAACTGTTGTGCAGTTTGTTCAAATTAAATGAATAAAGTTGTTTTCAATACAGGCTGAAAAACAAGCAGAAGTTGAAGAGGCAGCAGTGGCAGCAACAGCTGCAGTGCCTACAGCTCCAAAAGCAAGTCCTAAAAGAGGAAGGCCAGCTGGTAAGTTACAGAGCCTGTAACTTGTTCCTAATGTATGCAGTCAGTTGAAATATGTTTTCTCCTCCCTCCCCTCCATCCCAGCAGGAAAAACACCCCCCCCCCAAAGAAAACCACCCCATACCGCACATGTTAAACTAGCATGTTGTATATGGAGAAATCTCCCTGGATTGATTTTCTGTGCTTATATCGGGTAGAGAGATCTCTACTGCATGATTCTGCTTATACTGTACACCGGCCAAAATGATGATTTAAACTTGAAATAGTTAAAGATCTTTCTACAGGTAACGTCATCATACAAAATTATTATAGAACATTGTTTTAGATATGAAGCTGTGCTATTTGGTAATAATGTGAATGTATTTGATTGCATTGTTTCATTTGTACAATACCCTTTTGAAAATGGGTTGTAAACTTTCTGTATATTTCTGTACTCTTGCAATAATGCAGTGATCAGCGAGATCTGCCCATCTGCAGTATTTTAATAAATATATTTGGGATACCTGCATTTTACAAAGACACCTATCCTCTTCCCCCTGAAATTTATTCTTATGCTGTGAGTCTAGGGTACCTGCTAAAATGGGAATATTTAGGTGAAACTTCACGGGGACAGGAAGATAGCATTGTGCATACAAACACATAATGGATTGTAGTGTGCATGTTTAATTTGCTTCTGTCATCCCATAGGTATACATCTAACAATATATGTCATTGGTATCTGCAAACTTGGGAGCTATGCTAATAATTATCTATGGAGTTGGGAGCAATGTTGTTGTAAACTTCCAGTTTTAGAATTACAAAAGTATACAGAACATATGCTAATAAAAGTGTATTATTTTGTGTTTGTGTGTGTGTGTGTGTGTGTGTGTGTGTATGTTTGGTACATTTTCTAGTATAGAATAAATTAGCATGCTTATTAAGGACTGCAACTGTTTGCCTCTATGGAAAAACAAAGAAGCCAGTATATTAGGCCTTTTCATAACACTTTACATATTACTATATTTTGTTTGGTTAACACATCCTGAGCTGCAGCATCTAGGCTTAATTAAATTAGTCATCTTGTAGGGATGATTCTCTCCAAGGCAGTCAATTAAAATTGGGTTGAAGGGAAAGCTCTACTACTGGCTTTTTAATTTCATCTTTTAATGATCAGCTAAAGTGAAATAGTTAGGCTGTATTTAATTAAAACTTTTTTTATGAATCAGCTTCTGAAGTAAAGATTCCAAAACCCAGAGGAAGACCAAAATTGATTAAACCAGTCTGCCCTCCTGAGAGTGATGTGTAAGTTTGTTTTTAAGCATTGGCATTTGTCATGGAGAGTTTGGAATGCAATGGGTTAAAATAGAAATTACATCAAATATGCAAGTATGTATGAATGACTTGGCAGATGAGTGCTTGAAGGGGCATATTGCTATTATGGGTTGACCTCTGTTTCACCCCAAATTTGCCATGCCCTATACCCTCAGGCAGGTTCCTATGAAGATATAGCTAGGTCTTGGCTTAGGTCAGAAGAGACTTTTTGATTCCTAACTCAACTTCTCCCTATTGCAATGGATTCCCTGCAGCCACATAGGATAGAAGGAGGTGGGCAACTTGCTGCGGTGGCCATGTGTGGAACATCACCTAGTCTCTTGATCTATATTGTTCATGGATTATTACAGCTACTAGATGGAGGTTGACTGGTTGGATCCATGAAGTGATTAACACTTCATTATGAAAGGGAGCACACGAGGCTGCTGCTTCAGAAAACATCATTGGACTCATGGTGAGCCACAAGCTGTTAAGTAGCTTCACATGCTCCTGTAAGTAATTTTGTGTTGGCTGTCAGGAGTATGGACCATTCCTTAGTTCACATTAAACAGGGGCAAAACTATGCTTTATTTCACCCAGGTCAAAGACCCAGTTTGGCACCCTCGTTCATTTGCACGCACGCACAGAGAGAGAGAGAGAGAGACAGACAGACAGACACTAGGAGCCTCAATGATGCCCCTCTGGAGGCTTCACCCCCTGGTAGCTACAGTTCCACATGCAATAATTCCTTTTCATAGGGAAAAGGAGATTGAGCTGGCTAGAAGGTAAAAGAAAATGCATTCTGTTTTGGTTTGGATTGCTTTTAGTGTTCACGAGGAAGATAAGAGTAAAAGAAAGGGAGCTGAAGAAAAACCACCCAAAAAACTGCAAAAAAGGGATGAAGAAAGTCAAAGAGAAGAAGACAATGTAAGAAAAGACCCAGAGAAGAAAGAAGCTGAGCCAAAAAGGAAAGCTGCTTCCAAAGTGGGATCAGCATCAGCCTCAGATTCTGAAGAAGACGGAGAAGAGCAGGAAGGGAATAAAGTATGTGTTTGTCCAGTCTTTCAGTTAGGGAAACCTTTTGGTGCATGCCAAGCTATATTCTGTAGCTAGTTTCTGGTGCTCCATGTGAAATGTATTTTTCTTGTTTTATAAGGTAAACTGTTAGGACCTGATTTTAATGTAAAGCCGTGGCCAACTTCATTGGCTTGGTGCCACATGACAAAAATACTTTAAGGACCTGAAATGCTCTGTGCATCATGTGGTATTGATGATCTCATGGAAATAATGGGGCTATTTTGGAGTTATTTTGTTTAAAAGCATTTCTGTACTGCGTAATATTAAAAATCTAAGCAGTGCACAAGAATCCAACATAAAAACAGTATTGGGAAAGCATATAAACAGAAATTCAGTAATAAAAAGACCGACTTTTATGAGTTAGGGAAAGCTCAAATATATTTTTACAAGATGTCTGAAGCAACTGATGGCTTCTACTAAAATCAGTTTTCCTTTCTATTCAAAATTAAAATGGTACAGAAGAAAAAAGGAAGAAATATCCAAGGGCCTCACAGAAGGAATATTTTAAAAGCCCAACATGATCGTGAAGTAACAGAGAGAAAACGTAAGCAGGAAGAGCAAATGGAAGTAGAATTGTGAGTATATTCTAACTGCTTCTGTAAAAATTGAGCAGTTATGTGACTAGGTCATTAAAAGAAAAGAAAGATTCTCTACCATTCTTTGAGTAGTATTGTCTTTGTAAATACTATTTAAGCTGAAATCCTACAGCCCACATTTGACTAACCAAAAGACAGTAGAAAGTGGCTACAGTGCCTTTTAGCTGGCAGAGAGACCTGCTCTCATAACAGTGTGTACACTCACAAGTTACACTACCAGAGGCCCCCAGTACACCTCCTGAGAGCTCCATGGGCGGAGGGAGGGAAACGGGTACGTTGAGAGTGGCTGCAGATCGACAGGATCCTAAGCCCCCTAACACAGACCACGAAACGGCACCAGCCTACTCTGTAGCTGACATAGTTAACTCCACTCCCACCACTGCCATTGTAGTCAATGAGAAGAAAAAGAAGAAGAAATGGAAAACAGACAGTATGACTTTAGTTGTGGCAGTTGCTCTGTCAAAGATTCTACCACCACCAGGATTGATCTGTAAGTCTCTAAAGAATATTCATTTACTTCCAGAAGTTGAGAATTATTTACTGTAAATTGTTGGATAATTTTATAGGCAAAACAAAGAAGAAGGCAAAAAACCAGAAGCTAAGAAGATGGAGAAAAAACGAGGTTTGTAGTGAAAGGTTTTTTATGTTTAGTAAATTTTGTATTACAGAGGTATACCCAAAGGAAAGCATACACAGGTGTGTGTTTTTTTCTGCAGTTCCCTTTTCTCCCACATGTGTAAATGTCATTTCAACTTTTAAATATCTGCTTGGAACTGACAGCATACAGGAATTTAATTTGCTTTATGACATGAAAGCTCGATGGCTTGTCAAGACTTTGTTTCTATTCATAGTGTCATTGCAGAATCCATGATACCGTTAAGGTGCTAGGTACTCTTCATACATTAAAATTTGTCTGTAGGAATGTGCCAAGAAGACTAAGCTGCTGCTTTATAGGAACATAAGTCTTTCTAAAATGTTCTGGTTTTGCTATGAAAAAGCAAATTGCATTGTCTGCATTTCAGCTTAAATTTGTATGCCAATATTGTTATGAGTAAGGGACGCGGGTGGCGCTGTGGGTAAAAGCCTCAGCGCCTAGGGCTTGCCGATTGAAAGGTCGGCGGTTCGAATCCCCGCGGCGGGGTGCGCTCCCGTTGTTCGGTCCCAGCGCCTGCCAACCTAGCAGTTCAAAAGCACCCCCGGGTGCAAGTAGATAAATAGGGACCGCTTACTAGCGGGAAGGTAAATGGCGTTTCTGTGTGCGGCTCTGGCTCGCCAGAGCAGCAATGTCACGCTGGCCACGTGACCCGGAAGTGTCTCCGGACAGCGCTGGCCCCCGGCCTCTTGAGTGAGATGGGCGCACAACCCTAGAGTCTGTCAAGACTGGCCCGTACGGGCAGGGGTACCTTTACCTTTATTGTTTTGAGTACAGTCAGAATAGTGCAGTTTTATTACTGGCTTCCAGTTTTGCTTCATCAGTTTTGGTGTATTTTACTCAAAGTTGCTCAAAGGCATTTTCCCCATATGGATTTTATATTCACTATCATTTAAGATACGTTTTGTTAATATTTAGAAACATCAATGGATTCACGACTTCTAAAGATACATGCAGAAATTAAAAACTCACTCAAAATCGACCACCTTGTGAGTATATTGTGCTAATACCATTTGTTTCTGAAAGCTGACAAAAGTGTGTGTTTGTGTATTGTTAAAGTGAATTAAAAATGTATATTCTTACGAAACAACTTTTCGGTTTGGCCTAGTGGTGTCCTTTTCTGACTTAGTGATATACTTAATTTGAGTTGCCTTGGATTAAATAAGAGATATGGTGTTAACTGTATGAAGTTTAGTGTGAGGATGCAGAATGTCAGAGTAAAATAGTTTGCTATATACACAGTGCCCCAAGAGAATAGTCCATTTTCTGTGAGTTAAGCCCATTCACTTAAAATATTCCTGCTGTAAAATCACACTGAAGTCTTGTGTGTTTTTAATTTTACAATGTTTTCTCCAAAATTGTGTGTAATAGTGATGTTCCCTCCACCATCACCTTGAGATTTAACATTTGGGTTTTCATATATTAGGATGTAAACAGGTGCATTGAGGCGTTGGATGAACTTGCTTCACTTCAAGTAACAATGCAGCAAGCTCAGAAGCATGCGGAGATGATTTCAACACTTAAGAAAGTAAGATTGGTGGCTTTTATCATAAAGAAATTATGAAGATTGTTTAGCCTGTTCATGAATCCTTTAATGTAAAACTTCTTTGTTTAAAAATAGTAGAATGCAAGGCAAGGATTGCAAAACTTAATTAGCAATAAAATAGACATGGGGGGATTGCAACAAAATGTTGATCCATGGGGTACTTTTCTTCAGGGTTTATCCTCTCTATTCCCCCTTCTGTTTTCCATTCCTGTCCATCTGTCAGACAGCATTCTGTGCTCTCATATCTTTAGTTCTCAATGAACTGTTATAGGTGTTGGTAAGCTGGAACACTGGTATACATTTGCAGCTTCATCAAAGTATTGGCTTCTTTCATTTGTTTTTGTGGGCAGCTCCAGTTTCCATCTCTGTGGACATAGAAAAATAGGTTCTTGATATGAACCAGGAAGTAACCCATCCAAGCAATGAGATCATTATTTCTGCCATTTTTAGATTTGTGTCTCTTCCTCCATCCTCCTTTTCCAACCACTCCATTCCCTCTCCCAGCCTAGTTTTCAGTACCCACCCCACCCCACAAAACCCCAGTCAGTCAATATTCAGTTGTCAATGAGCAAATGCAGTTCTCGTGAAGCTGTTTGGGGTGGCTTCTCAACTTCTGCAAACTTCAGGGTTCTCACAAGACTGCTAATACTTTGTGCAGGAGAAAGAGGGTAGGGTTTGATTATGGCTACATAAGCACAATTTCTTAGTCTTGATATCAGTGTTGGTATATAGATGGCGACTGTTTCAGTAAATACTAGGTGGCTTTGAGCAACTTGATGATATTCTCATATATTAACTGACCTATCTCCTCCCTCCCCCCAAATATCTACCTATCTATCTGTCTATATATATATATATATCTATCTATCTTATCTATCTATCATCTATCTATCTATCTATCTATCTATCTATCTCTGTCACAGATACGGAAATTCAAGGTCAGCCAAGTTATCATGGAAAAATCATCTATGCTCTACAACAAATTCAAAACAATGTTTCTCGTTGGAGAAGGGGATTCTGTTCTTTCACAAGTATTGAATAAGTCACTAGCTGAACAGAAGCAGCACGAGGAAGCCAACAAAACCAAAGAACAATGGAAGAAAGGACCAAACAAGAAAGCTGAAAAGGACAAAGATCAAACAGGTGTGTGCAGTTCATCAAGAATATTTATTTCTTAGCACAATTTAACTGGTGCATCATTTCCTGTATATATTCCAGTTTCGGATAAGCTCTGGAATTCTGAATTTAATACAAAGCACTCCTTTGCCAGTGCTTAGTCACAGCACACTTTAGCTGTATTGGTAGCAACAGACTAGGTTTCATGGTTAAGTTTTCATGTTGTGGTTTACCATGAACACACACAACTCCTGCTTTGCTCCTCCCCTAGCAGGAACAATAAACCACAATCCCTACCTCAGGGTTGTGCTCAGACCTGTGATGGTTGCTTGTTTCACTCTAAGCTACAATTGGTAAGCCAAAACCTTTGGCTTTCCATTTGGTTCATAGCAAAACAAACCACGATCCCCAGTTTGGACATAATGCTAGACCAGGGATTATTCCTCATGGCTTAACCATGATATGCAAACAGTGAATGAATGAATTTGAGAAGATTTTACATCTGTGTTTAAGAACCCACAAATTTGGAAGCTATGGCTCTAATAATAGTACTTGCATGCTTTTTAAGTATGTGAAGATAACAAAAACAAAATCTTGTTTTGAGTACAATACCATTTTGGTAGTTACAGGTTTCTGCACTAATAGTGCAGTTTCCCGTGTTATAACAATGCCACTGGCACAGCTGTTGCAGAATTAGCAGTTTGTTGCTGTTTGCCTATTTTAAAACAAGACTGAGACAGAGCAACATTTCTGTTTTGTTTTTCCTTTTAACTTTAAAGGCACAAAGATAGTGAATGGTGCTTCTGACACACAAGATGCAAACCAGTCACAGCAGAATGGGGACAGCACAGAGGAAAAGAGAGAGAAGCTTGAAGCTGGCAGTAAGAAAAAGTAAGGGGTAGTTTCCAATCTTAAAAGAAGTAATAACCTGAGGTAGAGGACAACAGAAGGTAGTCTGGGATCTACAGATGGGTCTCTGGGTAGCTTGCAATAGGTTTTCAGAGATTTCCGATTTCCAGTTGTTTAACAGTAGCAGAAACACTCCTCCCACTGCATCCCAAAAATTAAGTTGCTGAAATAGAGAAAGCTTTGGGACTGCGAACCAGGAATAGATTTTGTGTGAAAGGACTGTGAACTCAGTTCTGGTACTGGAAACAAATTCTGGGCTGGGATGCACCAGTGTGGTGCACCAGGTGTTCCTTAACTGGTCCTGTTAGCTAGGGATGATGGGAGTTGTAGTCCCTAAACATCTGGAGGGCCGAGTTTGCCTATGCCTGATTTACATTATGGCCTACAGTGTTGCAATATAGTCATAAAAACTAGCATTGGTGATGGCCTGTTATTAAAGGATAACGGTTTCCTTGTACTTTCAGATTTAAGTTATAGGGAAGTTAGCATCCCACTTCTAACCATTGTAAATGGAACTTGCCCCCTTTTTGCTCTGGGAACGTTCCTGGGATTGCAGGATTGGGGTGAACCTAAGACAGCAATTCCCCAATAGAACAGCTCATGCAAAAACTGATTGAACTTACAGGAGTGTTCAGCCACCCAAAGGAGAGAGAGTGCATGGTGCCTCTTCGGGACTCACTGCGCTTGACGGTCTTTCTTAGTAAATGATAAATTCTGCCACATTACCTTGGATGTAATTTGCATCATTCGCTTATGCCTGATATATAGATGCAGCAGATTTATCTGCCACAAGAAGTTCCCAGAATAGTGATTTGTGCACAAGCACAGAGGGTGGCTTTTTAAAAAGCATTTCACTCTCACTCAGACTAAAAGTATGCTTCAGATACAACGTTTTGACGTTTGGGATGTTGACAATGCTAGCTACCTGGGAAAGTGGGATGGTTGCATTTTGATTTTCTGTCTTATCTTACACTATAACTGCAGGCTGTCTCTGACTCCACCCAACCCCCCCGGACTTTATACAAAAGCAGTTGTAAGATTATTGAATGTCAATACAATAAAAATATAGCTGAAACATGTTAGAAGTATACATTGGTACTGTGCTTTTCACTAGGACGTCGAGTGATGGAAGAGAACAGGAGAAGACGAAGAGCGCCACCTCTGAAAATGAGTGAATGCAGCCTAATTTTTGTAAAGTACATATTAAAGAGGATTATAAGGGTTTGCATTTGAAAACTAGATCGCGGAAAGTTTAAAATAATTTTATAAGCATAGTATTTTAATGTGTACAATTTTTGTGGAGTTGTGAAGAGAATCTCTTTAACGTTTGTCTTTAAATATTTAAAATCTTGATAGCATTTGGCCCAGTATTAACAGGCAATACTCACTTCATATATAAAGACCAAGTTGATTTAGAGACTGAACAGTGCTTGTATGTTTTGGATTAGTACCGTAGCATATGTTTACCTGACTACTGTATGTTCACTTTTTAGTTAATGACAGAAAAATAACATTCTTTTAGAATTGCCAAATTGCTCCACTTGTATAAATCTATTTTCTTCCTGTTGTCTGTGCATAGTTTTCAGAGTTGTTGTTTGCCAAAGTGTCTGTTCACTGTGTTTTGTAAGAAGCCAAGAGCATTTTGTAGCAGCTAAAATGTTACGTACGAGTATATTCAGTCAGTCCTTTATAAAGAAGTTGGTTTTGTTCTTGAAAGCTAATTGTGCCAATTTAATATGCTCTGACTTTCTGTGGTATGCTTTTGGTATTGTAGATATCTTACTAAGGAAACTCAAGTTTCCATTGGAATTATTGATGCACATTTGTCGCAAACACTGTCTTGAAACATTTTGTTTAAAAAAAATAAAGTTTATGCAGAAAAGGCAGCTCTGTATATTTTAATGAGAAATCTTCCCTTTAGTACAGAGTCAGAGACTGCTCACTCAGTGAAAGAGGCTAATTTACCTATTTAACTGGTTCCTCATCTTTCATAGACTGCTATTCAAAAGGAGCCCTCAGAGGCACACATTACTTTGCTTCGTAGCCGAAGTAAGGATTTGAACACGGTTTTTCTGGGCGCTGTGAGACATTCTAACTACTATAACACTTTAGCTCTCATTTGGCATTTCTTTTCACAAAACTTAATATTACTGAAATAGTTCTATATATCAGACAGTTAGAAGAACTTGATAGGGAAAAAATACATGATGCAAGCATGTAAAATTACAAATCAAAATTCAAGCTAGAATGGAGGTTGCTAACCTTTTTGGGCAAGAGAGCATTGGGAATTTTGAGGAAGTGGGTGCTAGTAACAAGATGGCTACTATAGGGTGTAGCAGAACACAAAACAAGTGTCGTGGCCATAGAATGGTGCAAGCATTGCCCTGGTCAGTGGAAAGAAGAGCCTACAGCTGCTGCTGCTGCACTCGCTGACAAAGAGAAGCTCTTTGCACATCTCATTGCTTCAGAACAGAAGAGGGGATTGGTGCCCAACCAGTGAACTGTGGGCATTGCACAATCCTTTAAAAAAATGTTTAAGGGGGGTTGTTCAGGGTTGGAGAGGCTGAGGCAGCACAAAAGAGGAAATAATTACTGAGATCTTTTGTGAGTGCCATAGGAGGTACCAGTGGGCGTAAGGTGCCTGAAGGTCCTATAAAAATGAAAGGTAAAGGACCTGTGCTGGTGGCCCCAGCTTACAGAGCCATCTATAGGAATCCCAAGCTGAATACTTAGGTCTGGATTCAAATAAGTTGTTGCACTAGCAGAAGCCTGCACAACAAGTGCTGTTATCACAATGAGATGTTTTCTTCCTCTTCTGCAACACACACACCTCATCTGCTCTGAACCCAGAAGAGCACATTGGTGATTCTGTCCGGCAAACAGAAATGCTTGTGCTGATGGAATGATCTTAGCATGACCCCAAATCATTTCCAAGGCTTGAGTAAACAGCTGTGATTTAGGCAGACAACCAAATGAAGAGTGTCAATTGCAGTTCAGAGTGGAAGGGATTCCACAAGCACTGCAACCTCCTCTGCCCTTCCTGGTGACCTGATCCAGTGGCTTCATTTAGCGCAAGTGTGGGGAACCTCAAATGAAGCTCTTGCCCAGCACTGACTGGACTCAAACTTTCCTAGCTTCATCATGGTTACTGTTTCATTTAATTTCAGGCCATCTCCTATAATCAATGTCTGATAAACTGTTTCAGGAAACATCCTAAAACGGGTAAACCAATATGGTGCTCCCCAGATATTGTTTGGACTCCCAACTGTTATCTTTGTTGATGCCGGCTGGGACTTTGGGGAATCTAAAAAAAGTTCTAACAACTTTTGGAGATCCACAGGTTCCCCAGCCCTGATACAGATGTTAAATACTATGTGCATATTGATCACAGGTATCCCTTCAATATACGTTACCTTCAGCCTGTAACATGTTGGGGCACGTTACACATAGTTCTACATCAGTGATGGCCAAACTTGGTCCTCCAGCTGTTTTGGGACTACAACTCCCACCCCTAGCTAACAGGACCAGTGGTCAGGGATGGTGGGAATTGTAGTCCCAAAACAGCTGGAGGGCCACATTTGGCCATCACTGGTCTACATGCTGTGAAAAGAAAACCGTGGCTAAAAGATTAAAACAAAGTGACATTCACTTGGGATAACACAATGCTCATCTTACAGTTAAAATCCAGTATTCTGTTTTTATTTGAATTATTGTGATGTAGAAGTTGAAACACTGCGAGAAGGAAATCAAAGCTTTAGGGTTTTACAAATATCAAAACTTTGTGATGCCTGAAACCTTGGATATATTTCATCAATGCATTCTGAACAGGATTATATTCTGTAATGATATATAGTCGTACCTTGGATCTCGAATGCCTTGGCTCCCGAACGATCGAAACCAGGAAGTGATTGTTCTGGTTTGCAAACGTTCTTTTGGAACCCAAATGTCTGATGGGGCTTCTGCAGCTTCCAACTGGCTGCAGGACCTTCCTGCAGCCAATCAGAAGCTGCACTTTGGTTTTCGGACATTTTGGAAGTCAAACGGACTTCCGGAATGGATTCTGTTCGACTTCCAAGGTACAGCTGTATTCTAATACTGCTTCTGAGACAGCAGGTGGCACCATTACATTATAAGAAGTCTGTGCTTCAAAATACACACCCAGTGCCTTGAAATAGCAGCCATTTAAAGTACGTAATTAAAATTTCCAACAAAGCTTGATTGCAGGTCAAGTTTTGTCTTCTCATCTCTAGTCGATTGCAGATGGTTTACTTGTCTCAGTACTCCATGGGTCTTGATGGATTCTAGGTTAGCTTCCATTTGTATAGACCCCAGCCCGTAATTGCATTGCTTATGGAACCATGGAGCCTGGATTTTATGCATTATAGACTAGTGAAGAATATCCAGCGGCACTTTCTAACCTAGTTTTTCCAAGGATGATGGTTCCAGCCCTGTTATCTCTGTCTAAATTTCTCACACCTTTCTTCCATTCACTACATATTATGCTGCCATGGCCACCCAACTTCTATGTATGGAAGAGCAACAATGCTCCTAGAAGAGGGTCTGTTAGTGTCACAATTTCTCCTCCAGCCACACTCCAAAACTAAGCAAGGCTGGCTGTTTCAAAAACCATGCAGGTGAATGCTTAAGGGATAAAATCAACAGGTGCAGGAGGGACTAAGCACCCCTTACTGCCCACTGAATCTCTCTGCAAATGCCCGCCCTTATAGTGACTAAAATTTGCACGTCCTACAATCTCAGAATGACCAAATTTTTCATCAAACCCTTTTTATCTTTCAATGTTACCTGTTAAAACTGAATTTACCTGTTACATTCAGCAACAAATTCTGCTTAATAGTGTGCATTTTTGGTGATTCTGCACCTCTGCAAAAAGCAACTATGTAGTAGAATGTTACAGGAGGAAGAATAAACATTACCACTTAACATTTCCAGGGATGCTTATCTACAGCTAGGTGTAAAAATGCATAGGCAATTACTGCCTAAAGCTGGGGACCGAATGAGTACTTCCATTGGCCTGGAAGAGAGACTTGTTATCTATTTCCATGGCTAGCATATACAGAATAAATGGTGAAAACTATAGAATCATAGAACTGTGGAGTTCAAAGGGACCCCAAGTGTCATTAGTCCCCTGAAAAGCAGGAATCTCAACATACTGTCCCCCATCCAATTTGACACCATGCATGTCTTCACAGAGCTCTGAGATTATATAGCTCTTTGTGTATAGAATGATTTGCAGTGATAGGCCACTCAGCCATGATTATGAACAGCCATAGTTGTCAGGTGGACAGAGAAAACTAAACTGACAGTTCTTGATGAACCCAGAATTTATTTATTTTTTAAAGGTGTTATTTCCCCACTATATGGGCTTTGACTTTGTGACCATTTAAATGGCCATTAAACAAGTACCCAAAACACTAGTACCCAGCTGGTGTGAGAGAAATTTAATTAGAACCTGGCAGCTGGGTCCAATACCAGGTTTGACTCTGTGGACTCGTTCAAAAGAAAATACTAAATGAAAAACAGACCCAGCTGTCCTGCAGAAACTCCAGGGATTCATGGAATTAAGGGAGCAATGTTTCCCCCCTGTAATTTATCATTCATTACGTAAACTCAATATATCACTGAAGGTCACCATATCTGGGATGCAACAGGCGCAGCAACAAAATAGGATTTCAGTAACATACCCCTTTCGCCTTTGGGTGATGAACGGTCCGATACTAGTGATTCTTGCTCAGCATTCTAATGCCACGATTTACAAAACGTAAAGCGAGCTTCCCTGCAGAAACGTATTTTTGCCTTTTCCAGGTTTCTGATTTGAGAGGCAACTTGACTGGACTCGAGATGAAGAGACTCAAAATGTAACTTGAAAAAAGAGACACTGCACATACTTTTGTAAACCAAAAAATCTTTAATTAAAAAATACGTTAAAAAAAGAACATGTACATTTTTCCAGCTTGCGTAGCAATTCTAATGGTAACCACTAGCTGAAAAGAAGAAGAGTTTTAAGTACAGCATTTGGCTGCTCCAGCAGCTACAGAAGCACATCATGCCGCCACCTGTTATCTTCCTTCTTGACAAAGCCTTAGTTAAAAATCCCTGGATCAACATAGGGATAAGCAAGGAACTCTCCTAGTTTTTTGCCCTCGGCATCGTAGTGCAGCATTCGGAAGCAGACGTCACAGAAGAAAGAGGGGTCTTCTGGAGCGAGGCTGTCATCGTTAGTCACCCATCTGTAGGTTCCAAGACAAAAAAAGGGTTAACAGGCAATCTGTAACACAAGCACAAAACCCAGGTTATTGCCACTCCCTGAAATTAAATTATGCCCCCAAAATTAATAAAGAGCTCCTGAACAGCTAACAGCTGAATTAAGGACAAGAAATGAAGGTAGTACCTTCTAGACGCGAGTGGCGCTGTGGGTTAAACCACAGAACCTAGGACTTGCCAATCAGAAGGTCGGCGGTTCAAATCCCCGCGACGGGGTGAGCTCCCGTTGCTCGGTCCCTGCTCCTGCCAACCTAGCAGTTCAAAAGCACGTCAAAGTGCAAGCAGATAAATAGGTACCGCTCTGGCGGGAAGGTAAACGGCATTTCCATGCACTGCTCTGGCTCGCCAGAAGCGGCTTAGTCATGCTGGCCACGTGACCCAGAAGTTGTACACCGGCTCCCTCGGCCAATAAAGCAAGATGGGCGCCGCAACCCCAGAGTCAGTCACAACTGGGCCTAATGGTCAGGGGTCCCTTTACCTGGTACAATTGCAAAATTAATAAAAACTGAACCTGTTAAGCTTTTGCGCTAGTTATTCATGGCACTTGTAACTTAACTAGAAAACAGAGCTTTAGCTGATGCGGATTTCTCCTGCCTGATCAAGG